ATGACTTTAAAACGGGCTTTGATGCCGGAATAAATTATAATTTATTATTTTCGATTCGCCGTTTATAAACAAATAAAATATATTTATATTTCCAAGTTATAAACAATGAGAAAAACAAAACAATATTATTCGACAAGTGCTGGGCATCAATCCTAAATTTTTTTCGTGATGATAATAGCAAATAGTAGTGCTTTAGAAATTTAAACAATTTATATCTATAATATCTCAGTAACTTAAATATTAATGTACGCACTCCAATATTATCTTAATATTCATACAGCAAAATGAGCTACGAACAATCTTGTTCAAATAAACATTGACTATGATTTAAAAGAGAGAATTTATAAAGACATTAACCGGACGAGCTTCATAAATATCACCGTCATAAATGTCTTCATCGCTACAAAACAACCATACGTCAGATCTTAGAACTTACGTGTTTACTATAAAATCAAAATCTTATATTCTAAAACTTAGAAATGTTATATTTTTATTATATTTTTTTGAAACGATAATTAATTCTAGCCATAAAACAACGTAATAAGAGAAATATACAGTTAATTTTTGATTTAATTTTATATTTTACGCTTATTTGTCTATGACTATAGAAATAATCTTGAAAGTTAAACTTAGCTTATGCCGGACCACGAGTGCAATAGTCATTTAAAAATACGCCGCGTTCCCTACAAGAATCTCCGTGTTTACAGTCACGCGATGTAGTACACGAAAGTGTTGTCTGTAGATATGGCTAGATAGAACCTAAGTTTGCTTAATTGGCTATAAATGTAGATGAAATACACGGTAATTCCGTATTTATTTTGGGAACGAGAACACGGCTTGCTCCGAGTCCGTTTCCATGTAAATGTTACTTTGCAAACCCATGTTCTATTTAGATTTTATTTGTTTACTACGAGTACATTCGTTTCTACATAACATTTTTCAACAACATTTTTCATATTGCTAAAAGCTATTTCTATGGCAAAAATAATAAATTTATTAGTAATAGTAAGGATTATTTATTATGATAAAGATTTATTTATTAAGATAAGCTAGCTATATTTATGAGGATAAAGACTAGGTTAATGTCGAAATATTGATATCACATCACAACAAAATAGTTCAAAATGTCAACAGCATTAAGCAAATTGGTCAACATTTCCTCTGTTTAATTGAGGATGCTAAACTAGATTACTTGGGACACAAAATATTTATTTTCTTTTTGTCCTTGAATAAAAATTAAATTGGGCAACACGACGGCTTCACCGTTAGAAGTCTTACGAGTAATATTTATTAGTGGTATAATATATATAAATTAAAACATTGAACTTATGGTTACATACGTGTCGAAACCAAAATTTATATGTACATTCATACAAACATATAAGTACAGTCTTTTATATGTATTAAACAATGTGCTCAAGTTACATTAGGTATTAACACAAATTTTATAACCATAAATGCTTTATTAAAAGTAGGCACGTTTAACAACTTACCACTGCTACTTCGCTCGCCAATGTATTTCCTACTAAATATTATGACCTTCTTTCTTAGAGATCTTCTTCTTCTCACTTAAAATACCTTGTAGGTACCCCTAGTGATATTTAGCCCCTAGTAAGGAGCTCTCGGAAAAATAAACTCATGCTCTACTTAAGGATTTACCCGACCACTTAAAATAAAATTAAGCTACCTACATATTTCATTTCAGACATTAAAGAGGCAGCTCTTCGAAAACACAAAAAAAATTTCTTCTACTATTATATTTCAAGCAACATCATTGCGGGATTCCAAGCACATATTTTTAAAATATTTAATGTATAATTTTCATAATAAATTATTTATTACAATTTATTTAAATTCGTATAAATTTACTGTAAAATATTTATACATATAAAAATCAGTTTATTATTAAAAGACTATGGGAATACCCCATAGAGCACGGCTATAAAGTAAATCTTTACGAGCTACTTATAGTTTAACAGCTATTTTATGAAGCCAAACTACAAATCCTAATTGGTTTAATGAGATTATAGCGGCAATTACTTGTTATACGATCTTTCTTCAGATAACTGACACTTTAGTTGATACTATACCTACCTACCATCATTCTATTTTACGATCTAGATATACCGGTTTTGATGCGATTCATTTTAAATTGGCCTCATTATTTAGGTCGCTTTTAGCTAATCAATTTATAGAAAGATTTTTTATTTATATTTAATAAATGTTGATAATTAAAATTTATTGCACTTATTAATTCCAAATGGTTACTATCGCAAAAAATATAAGTAATTAAAGCCTTAGATAAGAAATGAAAACCATGTTTTAGATAAGACTCATAATTTATATAGGTATGTAATATTATGTTATATTATATAAAATGTATTTTTCTTTAATTTACATTTGAAAAGGCATTGTCATTCTATTTATCCACACGTAGATCAAACTAAGCTTACAGAAATATTTAAAGATACCTATAATGAAATAATTCAATGACCATATTCACCACATACCGCGTAGTGTATATTCACAGTGAAAATGCAAGCTTTACTTTTTCAATCGCAATTTTCCACAGTATTCATATTTGTCGGGCGTGCAATATCACAGTGTTTTTGCATCGCTCACTGCCACGCGTATATTCAAAATGCCTGATTCTACCGCCAGTGTTTTAATTACTCGTTTTGAGAATGATTTATTTCACACTCAAACGCAAATGGCACTAGCAGTGTGTGGTGATATCAATGTTTTCGTCGAATAAAATTCCTATATAATGGAGAATTCAAAGCATATGAATATATTTTTTTAAATACACTTACAACTACATTTTTTATGTACATGTATAAAAATAATAAAATGACTAAGTGTTACTAAATAACTTTTGTTACTATAATTTTAGTATTTTTGGGAGCTTTGAATCGGAAATGGAAGAGATATCGAGATTAAGGTAGCAAACTATGTCATGGTTGGAAACTTGTCAATGGTAGTTTCGTAATATACTCAGAATCCGTTATCTCTTAAAAAATGGTTTGAAATACCTTTTACGAAGCATAATTTATAGTTTCTAAATATCCACCGGTCAAACTACTATTTAAATTTATTTACATTGATTTTAATAGATAAGTTTATGGTCCAATTTATTATAATTAAATGTATTCATAAATTTATTGTACCTTTTACCTCACTCATACTTTAAATATTTTATTACATCATTGAATATTCATATTTTTCTAAAATTCATTTGGTATTAAGTTTCCATTAGGAAAAAGCTTAAAATCGCTAATTGAATTATTATATATTAAATTTACGTACAGTATCTAATTAATTTTTTTTTATATTTTATAAATTGTAATGAAGCGTATATGGTAGAATACATAGGGTATTTAAAGCAATTTCAATAGCATGCTTATTTCAATACAGTTTAAATTATTGCGGGTGGTTCTGGCTGTTGAAACTACAATAACAGTCGCTTTCACTTGCCACCCCGACGAAATTCACTATACACAACAATACTCTAACTTAAAATATTCGTGACAAAAAACGCTTGCGCAAGCTTCAAGATGCATTGTTACCTTTTCGGGATCTTTCGTAATATGCACCGTTAGCCCCACGCATTATAAAACTAGGCTAGCTTCATTTCCTTTGTGATTTCCTTAACAATACAGAATATGATTTAGTGGTTTTTTGTTCTTATGCAAAATGTGTGCTTTGTTTCTTACTTTTTTAGAGTAAAAAATTAGTGACTTTACTGTAAAAAATTAAAACGCATGCTGTCAAAAAATATAGTTTAGGGGTTTTGTAGTTGTAGGTAAGTAATTGTGACAAGTTACATAAAGTAAGTTAGTTACTGATGACGATAAAGTGTTATTATTTAAATAAAAAATCTTATGTCTATTAAAAGTACATTATGAGTGATGCTGAAATGTTTCTCATAACTTTAACATGAATTTAGATTTTTTATATCAACTAGTATTATATTAAAATAAATGTATAGGTGTAGGTACATATATTTTAACGATTTTTATACTGATTCTAGAGATAAAGCAAGCCAGTACTTTCCTGTTCGTATTTAACATTCCCATGAGCTTAAAAAAGAGAGTGCATCTAATGTAACAAGCTATAAAGCTGCAAATTAGGTAATGTATATGTGAGAATGTTTTCACACATCAAAAGTAAACATGCCGTTTCTAATTCGTTATCACGTATGCAGATACGTTATTAATTGCCACTAAAAAAAAACGAAAATATTGCTTCCGTTTCCTGTAAACAAAAATTATGCACTTTATGTAAATTGACCTTGATATAATTACCACAAGTTTATTCAGCAAATTTAATTATATCGCCTGTCTGCGTATGCAAGCAAACTAAAATAAATATTAATCTTAACTTCGGTGCGGGCTGCATTCATCAGCTCTTAGGCACTGTTAAATTTCATTGCTAAATTCAAAACAATCGCGAAGCGTTCGATTTACGATCGGCATTCGTTCGTTCTAAATTTACATTGTTAGGGGCGAGACAAACAATTTGTGGATTGCGAGCAGTGAAATCTTGTCGCCCGGCACTCAAATTGTGATTTAGGAGACTACTAAAGCATCTAAATCATGCACTCATTGTCGACGCCCGACAGCAATCATCTTTCGACAGATGCAGCGTAGACATCTCTGACTAGGTTATTTCTCGTTTGTATAAGTGTTGTGATGGAAAGGAAACTTTCCATAATGAAATATTTCATAGCCCATTATGCTTACTGGAGTTCTAATAAGAAACTTACCTAAAATGATTCCAGTAACATCTAAACGGTTTGAAGAGCTATATTGTATCGGCGACTTAAACTACAATCACAATGAATTCATATAAAACTGACCCTGTATTTATTAGAAGGTAATCTATAGACGCTACAGCGCTGCTATTTAACAATATTTTGTACTTTAAAAAATACTAATCTCATCTCTCTACCGAGGATATACAATTTTGTACTAGAAAATGAAAAACGTATAACTATATTAAACGAGATACACTCGTCCGTCTATGTAGTGGTCCAGGTAGGAGGAGGATTTGTCGAACTTATTCAGTTTCGTGCGGTGTCGCGCGGGGTTAAAGCGCGCGGGCGTTACTCGCGCGGGTGGGCATCGCGCGGCGGCTGGCGCGGGCGAGCGCGGGCGACTGCTGGGCGGGCGGCGCGTCGGCCGCGCGCGGCGCACTGCCGGCCGCCGCCGCGACGCCGCCCCCCACACCCCCGACACCCCCCGCGAACCCCTCTCTACACCCCGATGATTAAAAATTCTTACCAAACTTTCTTGCCAGCGTGGCATCTTCGCACCTTTGAGCACTTCGGCCACTCGGCTGGGAAAACTTTTTCTTACCCATTGTTTTGAGCTTGCCCGAGTTTTTACGCTGGACCGGTTGGTAATTGTTTTTAATACGCATTAACTATTTTTAGGAATTTCCCAGAACAGAGGTATTATGATAAAAATTAGATTGAAAATCTTATTATATATCAATTAAATTTATAAAATAAAATAAATATTTGATAATCATTGTAAAAATCATGACTGGTAATTTTGTATATATTTATACCGATGACTTAATCCCATTTTTTGGCTGAAGATATAAATATATCTATAACGTTTCAAGAAAGTTACGTGTGTGTTAAGCACGAATAACGTAACTATATAGAGCCGATTGCCCCCACAACTAAGTGGCGGTCGGATTACAAGCGGCCCCTATGTATAGATAGATGTAACTATAAACGACATATTACGCTTACTTGTTTTTTGTAGCGTAGTAATGTTTCGTAAATTATGAATTTAGCATTTACATTATAATATAACATGTAAAGTACTATATTGTAGGGCTTTTTATTACTTAGAGATTAACAAGAGACAATTAACTTTTCATTTACCAGGTCACACAGCAGTCTTACGCACGATAATTTCCATACAGCATAAGTAAAAGGACATATCAAGATTTTTTTTTTTAATTTTTGGGTTTTTACTTTTTATACGTAATTCACTATTAGTTACATATTTAATTTATGTATGTATATAACATAGAATATAGAACACGAATTGTTTATATCTCTAAATGTATACTTTATAAAGTGGTTTTATGCCAATATTATATAAGTAATAAAATAAAAGAGAACAAAAACGTCAATCAAGATTCGATACCTATGAATACCGCCCTGGATTTGAGGACCCCTCTAATCGCTCCCTCCATGGAAAAGCGTGACGACCCACAAATATAATTTAGGTAAAACTTTCTCCCTTGTAAATGTACACTGTTTTTCAATGCATCTATTATTATGATTTCATTTGGTAAACATATTCATGTTCGCATGCAATATGTCGATTAGAAGTAGTAGTCAGTAATTATTTAGCATTCTTCTGTTTGGGAGAATATTTTTCTTTAGTGTTAAACTATATAGTGGTAGAGTTCCTATATATACTATTTGAAGTATAATTATCAACTCTACATAATTTGTTTTTCGCAAAGTTATTTTACAATATAAAAAAAATCTGTTACAAATTAAATTAGCCCAAGTACCTTAAACAATTGTTATTTATCAGAATAAGATTTCTTAGTATGCAACAATTTCAAATTATCACTTACCCTGAACTATTCAAATACCATTAACAATCTATCGGAACAAACCCAACTCAAAATCGCGACTAACTTTTTAATTTATTTCGTTCACAAAAGCTTTTTGTTTCATTTTCATTTCAACGGCGACTTGCGCTGTAGAGGGATCTCTATTTTTATTTATTCCAATTCTTTTCCTCTTTTCAATTTCGATCGTTCGGCCCCGGAACGGAGACGGATCTCATTTTAAATTGAATCAGTCTCCCGTTGCATTTTTCTTTATTGTTGCTAGTAACAATTCTAATTGGTAATATTTGCATATGATTCACTATTGTTCTTTTGTCATTATTTCCTCTAACGGTAGATTTTAAATTATGAGATTTTTTTTTACTTAAATTAGCTTGTTTTGTCTCATCTTTGTTTTCTTAATTACGTATTTAAGATTAAGATATAATAAACTTATATGATATATTTATCTGCGTAAGTATCTTTAGAGATATAAAAGTTTAAAGTAGACATTTTTAAATAAAAAATAATTTATTAATAATTTCAGTTTGTTATAATCAAATATTTCTTAGTAAATAACTTGGATATATTATTTACAGATATCAATTTCGTCGTGAAAACAGTCATTGATAGTGACTGGAGCGATAACGCTAATGAATATGTATACGGCAGGTGCATCGACATGATTAAGTATGTGCCACCAACGATTTTTGTAGCGAACATCGAAAACTTATCGATGTAGGTACGTGCCGATTTTATTCATCGATAATGATTATTAGTTTAGCTCCTTCCGGTTTTTATAATATAAGTGAAAGCAAATTACGAACAGTGAAATACCTAATCAAATTAAATTTCATAATTACTAATTATTATCAAAAATAATATATCTATATGTATATACATACATCTATAAAATGTAAATGTTTGTTTATCCGTTTATTATATACATATGTATATCATATTGAGATGGAATTTTGGTGTAAGTTGTTGTTGAGACGCTATCGAGTGTTTTTACGTTGTATGTACCATAAACGCATGATAAGTAGCGCGAGCGTCGTATCGGACAATTTGCGATTTATTATCATAACTTATAGAACGAATAACGTGTCCGTGAGATATGTTTCTTCAAAAACTAAATAAAACTGTTGAAAGTAATAAAATAACCCTTCAATTACAGTAATAATATGTCCTTATATACTCTCCAAAAAGGTTTCTTTCGAACAATGACTGTTGAACTAATGAAAATAGTTACAATCTTGATCAGAGTATAAGAGCTAATAAATCTAATGGATCATTCCCCTGTCGTCGTACAATCGGCTCTTACAATTAATTACGGAACTTGTCTATCGCTTCAATGGCGAAACTGTAGGTACCCAGCTTTAAAATAACCTATAAGAATATTTTAGTTGAAACTAATCATATTTTTTTTAATATAAAATATTACGGTATATAACATAGAATAAGTAAACCAGTAGAAAGACAAAGTTTATTTTTTTTAAATATTTTCAGTTATTAAGTGACGTCAATAATCGAAGTAGGCTGTAATATTATAGACTATAAATTTATTTTGGTAAACTGTTTTTTTTAGCATGTAACCTAACGGACATTGTGTCTGTGCCACTATGTAGCGATCGGCTATATTTTACAGTCCGGAATTCCTTTTCATCCAGTGACGTCAGGCACAAGCCACAGATAAAGCATATTTTATATATTGACTAAAACTATTAATCATCTTTACTAATAATATAAATGTGAAAGTGTTTTTGCTGGTTTGTCGTACAAAGCTATATATGTATGGAGATAGTTTATGGGCTGAGAAAGTGTCACAGGCTCATATTATTTATCCTTAGTTTATATATAAAGTCCCACTTTTCTTTACCATGCCTACAAGCTTTTTAAATAAAAAGAACTTAAAGTATTAAGGGTGTAACACACTCGCATAAATTATACATGTTTTTAATACTTCAAAGAACTAAATTGAAATTGGTAATTAAACGTTATCGGAGGTTGTAAATGTCAGTAATTACATCAAGCAGTTTTGTACGCTATCAACAATATTTAACAGCGAGATAATTTAAGCTAAATCAAACTGGTTTACAAAATTATAACTTGTACCTTTCTTTGATTTAAAAGTAAGTTTTATATTTCGTAAGATTCTTATAAGTTTTAAAATTTGAAATATTAATAAAGATTTTGTGCGTATGAATAAGTAAATCACTAAATAATAATAGTAGAGCTCACAGGCATATTTCGTATTTCATAAAAATTAGAGAAATTTTAAAATCATTAACTATAGTGTTTGTATACGTACATAATATGATAATAAGGTAATAAAATGCAAAACTTATCGAGTTTCCCAAAATTTATCACTAACCAAATATTGGTAGCATCTAAGTGATAAACTCACAATATCCTAAAGCAATTAAAGAAATCAGCGAGTTTTTTTATAATTTAAAGCTGTCTTAGATTTCACTATTTAAACTGGTTTAACTGATTTGTGTTTCCTTTTGCATCGAATTTAGACATTCCCACGGTGTTCAAATTTTAAAATATAGATACTATATAACACTTATAACGTAAGAACGTAAAAACAACAGATAGAGCTTCATTCTGATTCTTCATACATTTGCAATTATATTAAATATCCCGATAGTAGCGTGCGATCATTGCTTATGATACCAATTAGTTACTTAACAGAAACATAAAAACATATTACACATAAGAAATATATATACCTGATATACGATGGCTTATCTATTTTAATTAAAAATTAGAAACTTTAGTTCATTTTTTATGTGACAGTCGTGTAAGAAGACATGTATTCGGATTATTTTTGATTTTTCGTTTGGGATCGCTTAAATAGACTGTGATTTATGAACGGACGAAGTGCTATTTCCGTCGGACGAGTTCAAGATTTATACGAATTTGTAACACGACCCACGACAGAAATCGAAGGAAATTTTAATTGGATTATTAACTTCTAAGCCTATTGTTATATTTAATGAACGCGATCATTTATAAAAATGTTATTTGCCTTTTTAATTGCAAAAAAATATTAATATTTCATAATATATTTAAATACCTAATAATAATCATTTTACAGAAATATTTGGCGTCTTTTCAAATATTATTTTTATGCTATGATAGTCATAAGGGAATGTAATAGAATATAACAAATCATTTATATATAAAGTAGGTTATCTATATACATATATTTGTTATATATATAAAGTTGCTTCTTGTGACTGATTCATTATCGCTCAGGCCAAACTTGTTAGACCTAATGAACTATAATGACATACATAAATATGCGCTAAGAAAGAATTGCTTAAATTAAACAAAAACATTCATATTGTTTTTCGAATAACATACTAAAAATAGCAGTGACGTAAAGCTAGAGTAGATAAGTAGTCTTTAATATATTATCTAAAGAAAAATGTCATATACGAATGCGCCATGTACGAAAATATGTGCCTTCTATGTTTTTATAAAGCCAATATTATTTAATGCTAGCATTGCCCGTGGGTCTGCCCGCGTTCAGATGATCAAAAGCCAAATTTTTAGGTTTTACAGATTAGTATACTCTTACATTGCAGTTTTTGCATGTTTTCTTAGAAATGAGATATTTTCTTTCCTACTACTTCCTACTACCTATTCGGTAAAAAGTATCCTATATGTTGACCCAGACAACCAGTTATCATTATACCAAATTTCATCAAAATCC